AAAAAAAAAAAAAAAAAAATAGGGATTTTGAAAAATTTGGGTCGGCGGGTAATGCAAAACGAAAAATCAACTTTGCACGGCCTAATAGGCGGTCTATTAAATTTTTTAATTCCAATTAAACTGACCTAAATTTTTGAAGTACTGTATATTATAAAATTATTGAATCTCTTGCAGTATAGGTGACACCTGCTCTAAATTAATTGATTAATAATATATTTTATTAATGATGTAACCTATCACTATAATGCAAAAGATCAAAATCTTATATAATATCCCGTGGCAGAGGCACGGGTCACACGCTATTATGAGATTAAAATTCACATAACTTACTAAATAATAAGATGTGTCACTCGACAGTGATATAAAATTCTGTAAAACAGTACGTACACTTGTATTTTAAATTGTTGATTCCGGTTTTCAGTCTTTCCCACCCATATCTAAAAGTAAAAAATGAAAATGATTTATAATTATCTGTTTCATCATAATAAATAAATTAAATTAGATTTTTATGACCTTGGATACAATTATTACATGGGTTTGGAGTTGAACATAAAGCATTCATTTATTATTAAAAACCAGCAGAGATGGAGAACATGAAAGGTACGTTAATGTTAGATATTATTATAATGAAAGGCAAGTTTTAATTATCATTGATTAAAATACATCACAACGATAACAATTTAACTTTCTTTAGCAATAAACAGGCGAAGATATGATAATTTGGATATTAATGATAATTTAAAAAAATATATTAGTTGAAAGTGAATATTTATCTTAATATCCTTATAATGAATTGATTTGCAACAGTATATTATGCTGAGTGGAAAACCAAGATTTTACACGATCCGTTGCACTTAAATTACTTCACAATTCAAAAGAATGTAATGAAGAATTTGTGAAAGAGGTAAATTTATTTATATATTCAATATGTTTAAGGTGTTAAAGATTTATATTTAACGAATTTTTAATGCAAAGTTAAAAGTCAGGTATTGTGATATTGAAAATAAAAATCCAACACTTTTATGATATTTTGGAATATCAACAAATGCTTCTGGTTATTATATCCTCGTTTTAGAGCATGCATTCATGGCTTCTTTGCGTAACAATCTTTAAGTCGAAGCACAAATGGAATTAATAGATAAATTGAATTTATTAAAATAATTCATTCTCAAGGGTTTATTCATCGAGATTTGCATAGCGGTAATATTTTACAAGTTAATTTACATAGTGTATATATTGCAAAATTTGGGACTTTCAATATCAACAAGCACAGCATTAAAAGTGGAACTATATGGTGTTTACCGTATATAGCATCTGAAATTTTAGATGGTGGTTAATATACTACAGCATCAGATATTTGCGATTATGTGGGAAATTTATACAGAAATATATTTTTATAATTAAGAATTTGTTACATGACTTCAAATAGAAAGAGTTACGACAGTAATTGTTGAGAACACTACCATCAATCAGAGAAAGTGAAATCTTCCTGGAGTAACAAAGAACATACGCACGTTCAAATATGATAATTTTAAGTTTGAGCAATTACTATTATCGTTGAATACAGTAATCAGATAACAACGAAAACACGTTCTTTGTTTTCGGTAACACAAAGAGTTCCTTAGTTGGTGCGCTTGTAGTTCAATACTACTTTATTGTGTCTATTTATAGACTAGCGAATTAATCGTTGCACAAATTATTAATTTGGGAATTAATATCATAATAACGCTCCAGTAACTTAAATGTCACGGGTAATGTAAAATTTGGAACCTTAATTTGAAATATAAGCTTTGGCAAAATCTACCTACGCTGTTTCATTAGCAAATTTATCCCTAAATCATAACCTACCCCTAAAAACAATAAATCTTATTTCAAAACATGCGCTTGAAATTGAAAACTAATTACTAGTTAGTCAAAATATTTAAGGCTGAAATTTTAACAAATGAATGAATTAAATGATATTAATTATTTTTTAGGTGTTTAAAAATACAGTTTATTTCAAAGAATTGCGATTATTAACATTAATTTTTATGAAATTTTGAATAACGTGTCGTCTTTATTAATTTTAATAAAACATATTTAGCTTACTATGAAATAGTCTACATTGCATTTTTATAGAATAAATTCAAGCAATGATCATTTAATCTATAGTAGATGCATGTACACACGGTGGCTAGAGCTTGAAAGATATCCTATTATAAACTATTCATATAATTAAGTTATTGGATGAGTAGAATTTCAATATTTGTAAATAGAAACAATTATCAATCAATTCACTACGTGTATATCGAGCTTAAATCTTTAAGCGCATATAATCATAATAAACTTTTTGAGCTTAAATTCTTGTATGCATAATTCTTGAATGTATAATCAATTTTTTTTCCTTTCACGTACAAATATCAGTCTTATTCACTTATTATAAAATATATCATTGTATAATCGTGACGTGCAGATATACATGCCAAAATAATGTGATCTAAATAAAAATTTAATCGATGTTATTTATATAAGTCTAAACCCTTTTCTCTATAAAACATATTTGCCCAAAAAAATAAAAATAAAAATAAATAAATGAGATAAAAAATAAAGTAAAGAAATTTTAGATATTAAATACAATATTCAATTAATTCATTCAGATCATTAAACAAATAATTCAGATTGTTGAAATTATTCAAATTATTCAGATAGTTCACATGATCCAAATTATTTAGATAGTTCGAATTATCTAAATTATTCAATTCGAAAATATTACGTAATTGTTCATATGTTGGTTCTAATGAACAAAAAGCAAGAGTTGTGTCCAATATGAAAGAATTAGGAAAAGAATTAGGATTTAAAGTTGCAATTGAGTAGCTGTTAAAATTATTTAAATCTTGTGGCAAAGTTGTTCCTATAATATTTTCACTTGAACCAAAAGGTAAATTTTCTGTTGATTGTATTTCGTAGTTAAGATAGATAAGATGATTTGTTTCAATTTGTTCGTTCACCTGAAATGAGTCACTAAGTCTTATATTGGGATTTAAATACTGTGATTCAGTAGCAAACTGTTCTTTTTGTAACAAGTCTACTGATTCGTAATTTTCTTGAGGAATGGCACTATTGAGCGAAAATATGTTTTCATTCGGAGAAGATTGTGGTTCACCGAGAGCTATAACGGAGGGTAATATAGACCATGGCTTTAATGATTCAACAGACTTCATATTACTTTCCTTCGACTCTGACATAACTTTATCATCTGTAAAAATATCACGATGAACTCGATCACAAAGAGCTGCTAGTATAGTATATCGATTTTTTGTTTCATCTGGAGCATTTGCCCATCTTTCTGCAATAATTTTTGATATTTGTACGAGATTTACATTTGGATTTTCTTCTTTTATTTCGCTTTGAATATCCTTTCGATATAAAATGAATGCATTTGGGGGTTTGGGAGTTCTCTCTTGATTTTTTTTGGTTTTTTTACAAGGTGCCAAAAGTTGTTCTATTGCATGATTGAAATTTAAATCATTTCTATTAGAAAAGTAGCCAGAAAAATTATTTTCAATTGAAAGTTTAAGTTTTTCTTTAAATTCTGTAGTTTCAAAATAATGAATGTTTTTTCGTCTTTGTAATTTTACTGTTTTTACAGATACGGGTTTAGTTTTGGGCATTTTTTTTTCTTTTCTTATTATTTTTTTTTTTTTGACTTTTTATAAGTTTTTTAACGGTTAATAGTATAGTTAATGATTTTTGACCTTTTTTTGTCTTTGTTTTGAAAACTTTTTTTAAAATATTCGATTGCTACGGTGATCATAAAGAAAATGTCGACTATTTTGAAGATCATAAACAACCAAGGACCAATATATTTATCAAAATGTTTCAGAAATGGTTAGTCCTTGACCCAAATTTATGTGTAACTCAAGCCAAAGTCCTGAAATCGGCAAATTCCTGTAACATTACTCTTTGTATACGCATATACATAATTCTTACATTTCAAGAAAGCGATTAAGCCAAGTTGAAGCAAAGTCATATTTTAATATAAAATTTTTTACTTTGATTTTCAATTTGTTTAGTTGTTAACAGTGAAGATTATGAATGATCGTAGTATCAACTGACGTACCTATATTTACAATTTTGATTTGTGAACACGTTTTGTGCACGTGGTTTAGGATGTGTAAGATAAGTTTGATTCATAAACTCTTATAGTTTGTCTAACTCGTACGTAATATTTTTTATTACATATATTACATAATTGTTTAACATAAAGAAAACTCATTAAAGCTAATCTTTATACCAATAGTGACACTGTGATGTGATTAAAATTTTATAGGTACAAACATTTACCTGACTAGTTCCACGATAAAGAAAAATTATGATTTGCCATGTCACCTCAATGATTTATATTTAATTTAACCTATATATTGTAAAGAAAATATATTGTGCTCAGGATTGCCATTTGCAAATATGCTTAGTAATCGGGTGAACCGAATATTTTGAGCGGGTGAACCGAATATTTTGAGTGATAAAGTTCGTGTTGAGCTATTGTAGTTTTATAAATAAATACTGTGGAGAAATACGATCGCATGTTGTCATAATACAAAATTTTAGACCTTGTCTTATTCATTTCATAAATAGAATTATTTTGGTAAGGTGGTGAGCATGAAACAAATATAATAATTATTGTACTATTTTTAATTGTTCATTAAATTTAAATCTTTGTAAAAGAAAAAGAATATACTAATGCTTTAAATGTGCCTTAAAAAGGTAATTTGATCCGACCATGATCTTAATGAGAAGATAACTACTCGTTAATTATAAATATGTCAGCAAACTTGAGGGCTTTTTCATTGTGGTGCAACATGAATTCCTTTTTTCTTTTTCATGTGATCGCGTGCAAATTTCCTTTGCACTCCGATATTATTGAACTCCGACAATGAAACACAACATAAATGTATTTTACTACCTTAATTACTTCTTTTTTAAATATGAAGTCTAACTAAAATCGTAAAGTTATAAAGGCCAAAATTGGTTATGAAGGAATGAAGGGGAAACTTTTAAGACCAATGAACAAATCAAAATATTGCTTGAATAAATGCCAAATAAATAATTCAAGCATTTTATCAATGGATCATGCCGTTTATCCGACTATATGTGTGTACAATTCGATTTACAGTATAAGACGGCAATGAATGTAATAATTGAAGTAATCACTAGGAAAATATGGTTCTGAGTTCCCGATTTGTTTGGTCATTTGTCTAAAGATATCACTCTTATTTCTAGTATGTAGTTATGTACACGTTTATTACAACGCTATATAGTCGTCGATTAGATAATTAAACAAAGGTAAAACAAAACAAGGAGATAAAATCTATGATGCTTTTTGATTGGATTGATTTACATGCACTACATCGATTATCATTTCTAATTTAGCAATTTAGTTAGATATATCAATTGTTACCAATTTTAGATATATTGTGCTACCATGTAGTAGATGATGTCAGAATACGTGAGATAGAATAGATAAATGTATTAATAGTACTCTACTCCTTCATCTATCATTCATCATTGATTCGATTAATATTATATATGTTATTATATCTAGCACATACACGATGATTTTTAAAGGACTGTGCGTTTGGCTAGAGTGTTAAAATGATCGATAATGTTTGGCGACCTCTTGAAATTCTTGAAATTAGGTATAAAAAAATTTTTTTTTTATTGTTTTAAAAAATTTAAAACATCGATGGCTGATGTTAAAATTTGAAACTATCATTTCTAATCAGTTAATTTCTTATATGATGCTTTTAATATGATTACTATTTAAGTTACTTTATTTTATATTATTTATATGTTCAAAGTACTTTTAAAAAGATAAACTACAGATAATAAATAGAAAATGCACAGCATATACTGTAGAAGGTATTATCGGAGTTGTAGGACTCCATTACTTTATTGAAACTGCTAGCTTAAAAACTTTAGAACTACTTTAAAGTAATTATAAAGTAACTATATAGTTACTTTAACATAGTTACTTTATAGTAGCTATAGTTTTTAGTTACTGTATGTTAACAGTACGCCTACTGCTACTATTTTTAAAAAATCGAAACTCCGATTTTTACCATGTTTTATGAAATGGTTGCTGCAGAGAGAAACCTGTAACAGATCATAATGATTTACTATGGTCAGTTACAGGTTTTTGCTGCGGCACTCAAATTATCGTTACGTGTGAAAAAAAAACTATATAAGAGCTAGTAGTGCAACCTCTTTCTACATTCAATGCTATATTTTTTATATTGGAAGTTCAAAGTCTACAAATTATGGTAATAAGTTTCTTGCAATGAATTGCCTTTAGATCAGAAGCGAAAAAACGTAAAAAGAAGCTATTTTTAACTTGTCCGTAGTTTCTTACTGAATTGATAACAATCGCAAGCTTTTTACTCGATCATTTTCAAGCATGCACAATATTTATTGTGAATGAATCTGGAATTGGACCAACAACGTTTTACGACAGCAAAAGAAGCCAGTAGCCCAGTAGCAAGAGATCATCAAACAAGTTCAACTGTGACAGAAATTTATTTGAAAAATTTAACTTCTACAAGCTAATTAGACCCAAAGCAGCATGAAAACATTCTGTGCCAGGTTTTGTAGAATTTCAAAACAAATGTTCGTTTTGTCAAAAATCACTTATTTCTCAAATCTGCATAAAAAACATTTTTAATGTTCTAACAAAGTTTTCCTTGAACGATTTTACTATATAAACGTCTAACCTCTAACCTAAACGCTAACACTAACATTAATGAGCTTTAAAAGTTTTGCCTGCACCACAAACCTGGCACAGAATTCTTTCATGTTACAAAATAATAGCCCGGAAAACTCATCAGCTTTGGTAATATACTTTCGAATTACTATATAAACCTTAAATAAAAAAAAATTAGAATTTGTAATTTTAGTGAAGTATTTGTGATACTTAAAGTGCTTCAATTTCAAATGTTTTCTTTAATAACTTTCGTAAATCCTAAACAAAGATACATTAAATGAATTATGTAATTCATGAGAATGATTATGTCATGGTATATTAAGATATATTAAACATTTTTAAACAATAAAAATCAAACAATCATAATTTTTAAAATCACGTTTTAAAATATTTGTCATTCCTTTCTTCTGTACTTAAAATGCAAGACATACTGGTTTTTTATAATGCCGATTTTGAATGAGTTCAGGAAATAATTAGGAATTACATTTCTATGAGAAATTTCAGCTTTTAATTGCAATAAAAATAAGTTTAGAAGTTTATACTAAAGTTTGTGAGTTTTATTTTTTTTGGTGCAATTGTTTACAATTAAAGTTAATTGCGAATATTTTGTATCAGGCTATATAAAGCTAATTTCTGGTTCTTATAATGTGAAGTTTTAAAAATGACTCGGAAATCGGCTTTTAATTTTATTTCTAAAAAATTTTTATATATGAAAATGTATAAAATTTTTTTTTTGCAGATTTCTAAAAAGCTCAATCCGGATAGAAAATATAACCAGAAATTTTTTTTTAAGTTT